GTAGCTTTGGGGTTACCTTACCAAGATAAATGTTTTGTCTCTTGTTTTCTTAGCTTGCTGAGGCTTCTTAATGATATTGACCAGGCTCTGACTGCTCTTGGCAACTCTAATGGAGTCCCAGCAATCATCTATCACAAGAACTTCATTAACTAAAGAATGAAGTGGTCCCTAGCCCACTCAGATTTGAGTCATGCTATTATCTAATTTTCAAGTCAGATTACATCTGTAATTCTTATGAAGGCAACTAGCTACATCATTTGATTAGATTTTATATTCCTTAGGCTCTTGACATATGTAAATGTCTTTTTAGTTTAATATTAACTACTTTTGAACTTGTGTATTTCACATTTCTTGAAATCATATAAAACGTCTATTCGAATGCTGGGTATTTCTCAGCTTTCCCTATTTGGTTACAGCTTCCAAAATTATTGTACTGTCATGAAGCAGGCCCCTTTGTTTGTTGTTGATATTTGTTTTCAGGATTCCTTGCTAGATAGAATGTCTAGAGACCATAATATGGTTTGCCTCTGTGTCCCCACCCAACTGATTGATCACGATTCAATCTCACCTTGAATTGTAATAATCCCCACGTGTCAAGGGTGGGGCCAGGGGGAGGTAATTGAATCATGTGGGCTGATTCCCCCATGCTGTTCTTGTGGTAGTGAACAAGTCTCACGAGATCTGATGGTTTTATAAATGTGAGTTTCCCTACACAAGCTCTCTTGCCTGCCACCATGTAAGATGTGCCTTTGCTTCTCATTCACCTCCTGCCATGATTGTGAGGTGTCCTCAGCCATGTGGAACTATGTCAATTAAACATCTTTCCTTTATAAATTACCCAGTCTCAGGTATGTCTTTATTAGCAGTGTGAGAACAGACTAATGCAGCCCGTATCATCCTTCATGTGTCTTGTCTCCTTGGAGATTTACATGCTGATTGATCCTTATTTTATTTGTAACAGAGACCTTAAACTAACTTTTAAGGGAGTTTAAACCAAAATAAGTAATCTGACTGGGATTGTGTTGAGAATTTTCACTTACACAAACTCATTTTTGTTGCCCCAAAAAAGCACTTCCAAATTTTATATTATTTTTCTTTTCTTTTCTTTTTTTGAGATGGAGTTTTGCTCTGTCATCCAGTCTGGAGTGCAGTGGCACAATCTCGGCTCACTGCAGCCTCCACCTCCCAGGTTCAAGTGATTCTCCTGCCTCAATCTCCCGAGTAGCTGGGATTACAGGTGAGTGCCACCACACCCAGCTAATTTTTGTATTTTTAGTAGAGACAGGGTTTTGCTATGTTGGCCAGGCTGGTCTCAAACTCCTGGCTTCAAGTGATCCACCTGCCTTGGTTTCCCAAAGTGCTGGGATTGCAGGCGTGAGCCACTGTGCCCAGTCTACCATTATTTTAAAATTTAAATTGGCTTTAGAGGGAAGTCTTCAGGGCAAACATAGTCACAGTCCCTCATAAACAATTCTGTTGGGAAATCCTCTAACTTTTATAAGATAAATTAATCTGTTTTTATTTTTAATTTGAAAAGATGTTTATTAAACACAATATGTTAATTGAATTCAGTTCTATTAGCTTTTTCCCTCTGCTGTTCTTTCCTAGACAGTTTCTTTCTTTCTTTTCTTTTCTTTTCTTTTTTTTTGAGACAGAGTTTCACTCTTGTTGCCAGGCTGAAGTGCAGTGGCATGATCTCGGCTCACCACAACCTCCATCTCCTGCGTTCAAGCGATTCTCCTGCCTCAGCCTCTCGAGTAGCTGAGATTACAGGCATGTACCATCAGGCCCAGCTAATTTTGTATTTTTAGTAGAGACGGGGTTTCTCCATGTTGGTCAGGCTGGTCGTGAACTCCCAGACTCAATCGATCAGCCCGCCTCGGCCTCCCAAAGTGCTGGGATTACAGGCATGAGCCACCGTGCCCGGCCCTTTCCTAGACAGTTTCTAGCGTGTCCGTGTATTATAGCTGCAGTGCAGAGGACCAGGTGTGGTTCTTGGATATACTCCTCAAACAGAATCAGATAGAGCCTGTGTGTACAGAGAATATCTGAGAGCTTTGTGCATTGCCACATTAGTCAGTAATTTCCTATGCAAAAGGCAGTCATGTCTAGCTGAAAAACCTAAGCAGTCCTCGTCAGACCTCAAACGATATGGGACCTGCGTGGTCATTAGCAGAGAGCAACGGAGTCACTTAGAGACAGAGACGCTGGGTGAGAACTGGGCTCACTCACTAGATAAATCACTTATGCGTGCACATCTGCCTTGCGGAGCAATTCAAAATTGTGTTTCAGAAAAATGACAAATTATTACACTCAGGGAAGTTCCAAACACAGTGTTAAGTTCCGTGTACTCAACTGGGTGCGGTGGCTCACTCCTGTAATCCAAGCACTTTGGGAGCCTGAGGTGGGAGGATCCCTTGAGCCCAGGAGTTTGAAACCAGCCTGGGCAATATAGGGATACCTCTATTCTACAAAAATGAAAATAAAAATAAATTAGCCAGGTGTAGTGACGCACGCCTGTGGTCTCAGTTAGTTGGGAGGCTGAGGTGGGAGGATCACTTGGGCCTGGGAAGTTAAGGCTGCAGTGAGCTGTGACATAGTCACTCTACTCCAGCCTGGGCCTCAGAGCAAGACTCTGTCTCAAAAGGAAAAATGAAAAACCCTATGTAGTGAGAACCTCACTGATTACTGGGGTTTGCCATGTTCTACAAAATTCTCTTTAGCCACAGCAGCTGGCTGTGAGATTGGATTGTTTGATTCTTACTGCTGGTGAAGTTATTCCCGGCTTCTCTATCCTTCCCTGACAGAGGAGGAGGGAGGGGCATCAGAGGCTTTCTTCCTTGTACGATAATAGGATCCATATTAGTTCTCCTTTTCACCCAAAATGTGTTGTAAACTGAAATCTGGGTGGCAGATAAAGGTGGTGGAGATCTTTGGATGTGGTCGTCTCTACCTTCACCTTGTTGATGTCATCGTGAACAGACGCTTAGAAGCACTACGTGCTCCCAAATGAAGCTGTGATTCTGCAGGAGTTCAAACACAACAGGATGCTGGGCTTGTAGGCCGGTAGCTGTCCGGCAGGAAAGCTGTGCTTTCCCAGCTGTGGTGGGTGGGTTCCAGTTTTGGCCAATTCTCCCTAGTTCATTAACCATCAGAGCCTTACAGATGACCCTCATGCTCATCGTAGCGTCATCTGTAAGGCTCTGAAAGCATTCCGAATACCAGACCCGCCTGCTGGGGACCCCAATCTCTGAGTGGTGCACAGTTCATCTGAGCCTCAGGATAGCCCTGTGAGGCAGGGGTGGCTGGCGTTTCACGCCCTTTGTGTCACTGAAGGGTCAGCCCTTTGTGAAGGAAGGAGAGGGTTTGTGGCCAAATCTGATTCTTTCACTTAATAGCACAGAGACTTTGGACAAGTTCTCTGGGCCACAGTCTCCATCTTCAGAATGTAAAATATAATAACCTTGAGATCTAATTGTGGCAATTAAGTGAGATGATGCTGGCGCAGCCCCTGCCATGATTCCTGGTGCATCAGCATCCCAGGAAGTGAAAGAGTTTGCTCGTGGACACACACTATGAAGAACTTAGTCACGGGTGTTCTGGGGCCCGGGACAGGATGCTTTCTGCTCTACCATGTGGTTTCTCCAGGGTGGAAACTGCTGTTGCATTTTCACTTTGTTGGAGCATTGGTCCAGTTAAGAGATGAGGACTTTTAATTTCAATCTTAACTTTTTTTTAACATTTAAATGCTAGCTTTTTTCGGTAAGATAATGTCTGACAGAAGCAGGATTTCTGGGTTAAAGGAAAAATGAATTTGTGATTGTAATAAGGATTGCCAAATTGTTTCTCTAGGGCTCTACCCGCTCCCAAAACCAGGAATGGAGGAAAGTGGCCATCAGCCTTGCCGAATGGAGTGTGCTGCCACACTTACAGACTCCTGCAATGAGATGGGTAAGAAGTTGCATGTCGGTGCAGCTGTTATGAATGAAATTGAGCATCTTTTCATGTATCCAAGAGCCATTTGTAATTTTTATGTATGTGTGTGTGTGTGTGTGTGTGATCTATTTGTGTCCTTGCTTGTTTTTCTCCTGGGTTTGTTCTTGTTCTTTTCAATTTTGAGTAGCTCTTTGTGTATTTGACCAATCATCCATGTGTCTTTTTTATGAGTGGCAAACAGTTTTTCAGCTCTATCATTCGTCTGTCTTTTGACTGCCTCTGTTGGTGGTGGTGGTGTTAGTTGCTGGTGTGTGTTTGTGTGTGTGTGTGTTGTTAGTTTTACCGTGCACAAGTTTGTTTTATTTACTGAGGATTTCTTACCACGAGAAGTGAGTGGGACCACAGCCCCTCTTTTGGGAATCTGGCGTGGGCTTTGCTGCCAGGAGGCCATCAGAGCTGCTGCTGATGTTCATTTCCACTGGAATTTTGCTCATCTTGAAGGTTCCCATCTTTGCACTCCTCATATTTACATTTTTATGCTAATTGAAATCACTTTGCGGTTCATCATCTATATGCTCCCTGGCGGTGTTTGCTTCTTTTTAAGTTCTGGCTTTGTCCATCCACTGAGGTCATTGACTGGGGGAGTGCAGAGGCCTGGCCTGGACATTAGTGTTGGCCACAACACCCAGCTTAGCACAGCGAGGTTACTGCGGGTTCAGTGCGAAATCCAGGACTAGTGGTCCCCAGGCCCTAGCAAGCCACGGAGGAGTCTGGGATGTTTCAAGGGGCTAACTGAAAGCTCCCTCTCCCTTTTAGCCATGACACCCACTCTGAAACGGTTCCCAGGTTGTGTCTCTTGGTGGGACCAGGTTCCAGGGACGGCTCTAGATCGAACGACTCTTAAGCTCTCCTCTACCCCTGCTAAGGTCTCCCAGACCCATTCCACCCCACCGAGGGAGAATGGAATTGCCTCCCCAGGACCCTCCCTCATCCTCTTCCCTGTCCCAAGCTCAGAGTTTGAAGGCAGTGGGGCCGAAGGAAGAGGAACGGAGACAAGCCAGGAGTTGAAGAAGCCATTGGTTTAATGGGGTGAGGAGGTAGGGAAGGATTCGGTGGCAGGAAGGCGGGTCTTGTGGCTCCTCTTTCTGCCCTGGCAGGGGTTGATGTGTGGGAGAGGAGCCCTGAACGCTCTCTTCTCAGGCATGGGGTCAACAGGGAGAAGACTGGAGAGGAGGAATGCATGAACTTTGCCTCTTGCTGTAGGGAGGGAGGAAGGAGACGCTGAATACAGGGAGGAACATTAGCCGCCTTGTATCTGGGAAGGTTGGACAATAGCGCACTTCCGTGGGTACAGACAGAGGAGGAGGGAGCCGGGATCTAAGGCCGGAAGAGATCAGAGGGGCTCAGCAGTGCAGCAACCTGTAAAACTGACTGATTCCAAAACACCCAAACCAGCAGACGGCACCCTCGCCCTCCCCTCGCCCTCCCCTCGCCCTCCCCTCGCCCTCCCCTCGCCCTCCCCTCGCCCTCCCCTCGCCCTCCCCTCGCCCTCCCCTCGCCCTCTGTCCTGGAGGGCTGCTCTCCCGTCCGGCCTCTGCCTCTACTTTTTCCTCCCAATCTGCGCCATCAGATGGGCGTTGGCGGCCGCCTGGGCGCGCAGGTTCTTGGCCTTGGCGATGTTGAAGAGCAGGTTCATGATGTTGGTGGGGACGTCGAGGGACAGGGTGAACTTGGTGCGCTGGGGACTCTTGGCTGTGTCCTGGCGTGGCTTTCCCCTGGGCTGTGCTTGGGACACGTATTTGTACCGGGTGCCTCCAGCTCCACCCCTGGCCCCAGAGACGGGGAAAGTCCTTTTCTCTTTGCCCTCGTCCTCCTCTCCCGAGGAGGCGTTTCCGCCTGGCGGGTGGTGGAAGCTCCTCTTGCTCAGCAGGGACGTATCCTCCCCCTGGCCCTTCTCAGCCTCAGACACGGCGGCGTTGAGGCAGCTGAAGATGGGCTTGGCCTTGTAGAACTTGTGCGGGAGGCCTGTCCTGGGGCCCCCCAGGAGCAGCAGCAGGAGCAGCAGGAAGTGGACCGGCCTCGGCATCTCTCCCTGCAGCAGAAAACAAGGGATGTGGGCAGAGGCATGGGAGGGGCTTGGCGCCCTGGAGGACCTGGATGAAAATCTACTAGGGTGTTGTTAATATTCCACTGCAAAGGTTCTCCAAGCATGACCCGCAGACCAGCAGCACCAGCCCCGCCCGGGACTTTGTTAGAAATGCAAGTAATTCTCAGGTCTTTTTCCAGAACGAGTAAATCAAAAGCTCTGGGGCCCAGCCGCCTGTGCTGTAACAAACCCTGCAGATGATCCCAGTGATCACTAAAGTGTGAGAACCATGACCTCATTAGTATTTATGGGTTTTATTTAATTCAGATTTGCAGGCAGCCTCTGCCCCTGTAAAGCGAATAACTAATATACTAAGTAAGCACCTAGCAGCCTACCGTGGTTGATTTTAACGGTGAGTGAATTTTTTGTTCCTTCATCATTGTCAAGGCTGACTGAGTATATCCCTGTTGCTTAAAGACCATGGCTGGGCATCTAGTCAGTGTTTCCAAGGCAGATCTTTATGGCTGGTTTCTCGCTAGGCTATCCTAGTTTCTTGAGAACAATCAGATTTGTTATTAATAACTAGGTTGGTTCTACTGTAGACTTTATGAATTTATGAAGTCAAATTATGGTTTTACTGTAGACTTTATGAATTTATACTTGGTCTTTTTGTCAGTCCAAGTATCATCCAGGGAGCGCCAACGTCCTCCAACCACAGGACTTCAATGCCAACACTATCTGTGGTCTCTAAGACGTGTGGGATCCTGGTTATCAGTCAGACAGAGTCAGGGTGATTGTCCAGGGCAAGAAAGAGACACTGAGAACTCTGAAAGGATCCTAGTCTATAGGGACCAGTTGAATCCATTCTCTTATTTAAAAAAAGAAAAATAAAAACTGGCCAGGCACAGTGGCTCACACCTGTAATCCTAGCACTGTGGGAGGCCGAGGTGGGAGGATTGTTTGGACCCAGGAGTTCAAGAGCAGCCTGGGCAACATAGTAAGACCTTATCTTTACAAAAAAAAAAAAAAGAAATTAGGTGGGCGTGGTGGTGTGCACCGGTGTTCCCAGGTACTCAGGAGGCTGAGGCAGGAGGAGGCTGAGGCAGGAGGAGGCTGAGGCAGGAGGAGGCTGAGGCAGGAGGAGGCTGAGGCAGGAGCATCGCTTGAGCTCCAGAGGTCGAGGCTACAGTGAGCTGTGATTGTGCCACTGCCTCCATCCTGGACAACAGAGCAAAACCCAGTCTCAAAAAAAGGAAAGAAAAAAAACCCACTAAGCGTTAGCGTATAGAATGTTGTGGCAATAAAAACATCCAACTCGATGACCCTCATGTTACTTGGACTGTTCAGGCTTTAAGCATCATATGCACTTGCTGGTTCACCGATGAACAGTGTTAAACAAGACATCGAACTGCCATCCCCATCGGGGAGAAGGGCTTGTGCTGAGCCACCGCCACCCTCCCTCTGGGGCTCCTTCACAGTAGCAGCATGCAGCTGTGCCAGAGGCCGTCAGAGTTCAGGTTGCCCATGGCCACTGTTCCTTAGGATATTGTGAAGTGGGCAGAGTTGACTTCCTGTGCCCTGAGATCAAACCCACTCTGCAGCCAGTCCTTCTTGCCTGGTCTGCGGGCACACATTCTCTCCAGCCCTGCAATAAGGACATCACGTTTATTTGTTCATTGTTGTCCTTCATCATGCACGAGGACGAAACAGTGAGGTGCATATGTCAGGAGTTTTGTCTCAACTCCTTCTAGAGAGAGCACGGCTGCCGTCTGCGGGCCCTGGCTCACACCCCGACATGCCTGTTCTCTCATTGCGGTGTGAGGATGAACCATCCCCTGGGCTCTCCTGTGAGACACAAGCAGTGAAAGGCTCTGCTGTTCACCTTTGGGGGCTTTACCTGAACTTGAAGGTCACTTTATTACCAAAGACAAACTCGGCTTTCACAAAAGCAAGCAAGAAACATGTGGTTCACTATCAACATGGGAGAATTCTTTTCTTGTGTTAGTTTTTTAAAAATAAATAAGAACAATTGGGTAAGTAAATCACCCGGCGATTCACCTGGGCCTTCAGCAGCGTGAGGCTGGCATTGGGTCATTTTGTTCTTTGCGGTGACAGTGCAGAGCAGGGCCAGGCAGGGCTGGCAGTCGGGGCTCAAGCTCCAGCCTCTGCTCTGCAGTTCTTTGTCAGTGTGGCCTTGACGAGGCCGTTTCCCACACGTGAGTGCAGTGGAGCCAACCCAAGCCCATCCAGATAGCCTTAGGCTGTGAGGGATGGACAGAACCAGCGCTGACCCTTAAAAAAGGGAGCCTGGGTCTCTTTCTAAAGGAGGATCCTGTAAATCCCTGCTGCTTCACTTACCCTGGAAACAGACACACACACATGACACATAGGAACATAGAAATGCACACATACATACGCACATACTCATAAACATGTACACATATACACATACATATGCACCCAAATACAGATACACACATATATACATGCACACATGGGCACACACATACACACCTCACATGTACATACATACCCATATAGACATATGGACACACATATATACATGCACATACATGCACACGCGCACCTCACACGTACATACGATACACACACACATATAGACACATGCATATTTACATATGCACACATATGTACACACATGCACACCTCACATGCACGTACATACACATACATATACATATATGCATGCACACCTATGCACACACACATACATACCTCACATGTACATGCATACACACAAGCACACACGTGCACACACCTCACATGTACATACATACACATACATATAGATACATGCACACACATATACGTGCACACATATGCCCACATATACATACCTCACATGTACACACACACACATGCGTACACCCCTTACACACATACACATGCACACACATGCACACACATATACACACGTGGATAAATATTTACCCGGCACATTTCCTGTCAAAGCCTGTTGCTTCCCTTGGCTCTCCACATTGCAGCTGTTGCCTTTCTTTCCTTTAATCTTTTTTCTAAGAAATCAGGTTTTGTTTTGTTTGTTCAATTTATTTTGCATTACAAAAATTTGGAGCTTATTTTATGCAATAATATTTTTCATAATTTATGAAAAAACACATGATCCTTGCTTTAAATGGTCCAAACCTATGAACTGCCAGATCTGGGCATATTGCCTGGTGCAGCGAGAACAACACAGGCTTTGCAGTTAGACAGACACAGTCTCGAATCCCTTCTTCATTCTTACTTGCCTGAGGGCTTGGGCCGATAACCTCTGTGAATTTCAGTTTCCTTCTCTGATAAATGGGAAACAATAACCACCTCCTAAAGGTTAAGTGAAGGATTAGATGAGAAACGTCAATGTGTGTGTGAAAGCTCCTGGTCTAAACAGATGCTTAATCAAGGCTGATCCACACCTGAATAATCTCCATGTCTTCTTAGGAGAAGATCTGGTCTGCACACAACCTTTTCAGAAATGCATTTTACACACACAGATGTGCATACGCAGTACACATATGTACAGAGAGGCCAGGAAATCTGAGCAAGGATTTGATCCTGCAGACCAGTGTCCTTTTTGTATCGTGTCTCTGGCTTGTAGCTTTTGGCTCCATGCTACCCTCTCCACCCTGACCCATACAGGCTCCTTTTGCCCTTAGTCTAAGTAAGTGGTTCTCAACTTTCAGGTGCTTTGGACTCATGTGAAGGAGCAGTTCAAACACAGCCTGTGGGGCCCGTCCCAAGAGTTTCTGAGCCACTAGGTCTGGGATGCTCCTGAGAACATGCATTTCTAGCACAGTCCCATGTGGTGCTGATGCTGAGGTCTGAGGACCACACTCTGAGAACCTCTGCTCTGCATGCTCCGACCCGACTCTGGACTCCTTAGAACTGTACACTGGAGTTCCAGGGGTGCACTAACCATCCCTGTGGAAAACGGGCTTTTCTTTCCTTAAATATTGCATTCAATAACCAGACCTTCAGTTTTCTCATTTATAGAGGACCTAATGAGTTGTTTTTCTTTTTTTTTTTTTTTTTTTTTTTTTTTTTTTGAGACGGAGTCTCACTCTGTCGCCCAGGCTGGAGTGCAGTGGCCGGATCTCAGCTCACTGCAAGCTCCGCCTCCCGGGTTTACGCCATTCTCCTGCCTCAGCCTCCCGAGTAGCTGGGACTACAGGCGCCCGCCACCTCGCCCGGCTAGTTTTTTTGTATTTTTAGTAGAGACGGGGTTTCACCGTGTTAGCCAGGATGGTCTCGATCTCCTGACCTTGTGATCCGCCCATCTCGGCCTCCCAAAGTGCTGGGATTACAGGCTTGAGCCACCGCGCCCGGCCGAGTTGTTTTTCATAAATAGAGTACGAAGTGTGGTTTTAGCTGCCTTGCACCTTGAAGGCATCTTAAAGCTTGGAAATTATTTCGAATGGCTTGCTAACCCTGAAAGGGTTTAAAAAAACAGGAACCAATTTGGAAAGGGTTAATACTGGTGGGAAAGTGTAGAGAAACTTTGTCTCTCTGTCCCTTTGTTCCTTCATCCCTTCATTTCTTTCACCACCAGACTCAGTCCTGTCCCTCCCACTCACTAGCTCGTGCCTAACCACCTAGGGCCTCAGTATTTTCCTCTGTGAGAGCAGGGGATTGAGTTCGAGAATCTTTGTTCTGATTTCTTTCTTTTTCTACTTCTGAAAGCCAGAGGTCCCTCTATGAAAAGCACTGGGAGAACGAAATGATTTCTTGATTTTCACCAAATGAAAGGTGCCTGGACTCTGGGTGGGTGTAAGCTAAAATAGAGGGTGCTGACCAGGCCCGGTTTCTCATACCTGTAATCCCAGCACTTTGGGAGGCTGAGGCAGGTGGATCACCTGAGGTCAGGAGTTTGAGACCAGCCTGGCCAACATAGTGAAACTATGTTTCTACTAAAAAATACAAAAATTAGCCAGGCATGGTGGCACACACCTGTAATCCCAGGTACCCAGAAGGCTGAGGCAGGAGAATTGCTTGAACCTG